GTCGTGCACGGTTCCACTCGATCGCGTCACAATACTTAGGGCTCATGCAAACTGACTGTGAAGAGCTACGTTGCGACCGTCGCAGTTCGTTGCAATCGGTCGCATTGGAGAGGCGTAGAACCTTCAAATCGGCGACAGCAAAACAACGTTATGTCAACAGTGAGAAAAGGTTGAAACGTTGAGACTAGGTTGATACTGAGAATTCGACGAAGAATCAGCATCAATGAAATGCTGGCTATTCGTAATTAACCGTATTTTCAGCATATGGCGGCTACTCGTGGATTAGCGAAGTCCTTCAGAGGCCATTAACCTCTTCAGACCCCGTGGCATAATACACATGCCAAATATTAACACGTTGAAACCCCTACTGAAATCGCTTCTATGTCATGGATCACACTGTAAGTCGGAAGAAGAGAGTCCCCGAAAAAAATGCATGCGCCTCATTGGACTCAGTTTGCATCACAACAGGGGCTTGTGAACTTGGCGCTTCTTTGAACATGGCCGCCCGCGCCCTCTGCGATCATAAAAGCCATTGTGGATTCTCATTATTGGCGCTAAAATGATGTATATTGACAGTCCGCGACACCAACTGGGGTCGGTTCCGCGTGTTGTTCACACGCCTTGGTGCACCTCGAATGTTGCGTCAAAGGGAAAATCGTGCTCCATCCCCAGATTTCTTGCCTAATTTTCATAGAGAACATTTGTAACGAATAATTGCAACATGTAATTATGCTTAGATTTTTTGCGCCTATGCCATACCCACCCTCAATGCCTCTGAGTCGGCTTTGGTTCGTGTGTTCAATTCACGGCCCCATGTGGATGTCAGAAGACTGGGTATTTCCAGTGAATACAAATTTGGCCAATTAGTGAAATCGTTGCCTTTCTGTTAGACTGGCAAGCTTCAATCGAGGTTACGAAATATGTTCGACCCCGTTACTATTAAGAAATGGAGCCCGGTTAGGTGGAAGGGGAAGCTTGGGGAGGTGTGTCATGCCCTTGGGTTATAGTCTACCGACGTACGTCGTGTCAAGGTTTCCCTGCTCTCCCATAGCCCGAGGATATGAATGACGAGGAAGATGATGATGACGACGATATCGACCCCAGTGAAGACGATGATTACTAACATGCTTCTTATGTTCTTTTCTTGATTTTCGAGTGATTATATTTTTCCCTGAAACTTTTGCGGGTGTCTCCCTATATATTTATAATTGATTTATTCCATCCACATTTAATGAATTGAGTTCATCATTGAACATTTTTCTAAGTCTGAGAAGGGCTTGGCAGCCTCTCTCTTGTTGAAGTTGTTTCCGACCCTGGTTGGTGTCGCGGACTGTGAACTGCAATGCCAAATAGTGTGGGAAATTATTTATAAAGAAAGGGATATCTGACTTATCATAGAGCTCTTATGGGATAGGTCAAAACTAAGATGGGATGTACACATGCCACGAGGCATTGCGCCAGTAAATTTGCGTTTCATGGTCCAAATACACGGAACTCTTTCATCAGTTTGAATACAGTGGCATTGATCAACCTGACATTTGTTGGTGCCCTTCAAGCACCAGGCTGGCGAAATCGAAGAGAAAGACCAGAAAGGAGACGAAGATATGGACAGTGACGGATCCGGGGGTGCGGGGGGGGGGGCGAACCTCCACTCAGGATTGTTCCAGGTACATATTCGCAGACAGTGCTTCCCGCTTCATTCACCACCCAAAGAAACCATTTATTGTGGTGCTGTTCACATATCGGGTATTTGAAAAAGTGAGAACCACAGTACGGAGGGCCCAGGGGATTAATGACCAATCCCTAGCGAACGGGGTGGGGAGTGTGGGATACCGCAGTGCTTCCGTATTTCCGAAATACCATCCAGTCTAATGCTACTATTATTGGTGCAATGACAGTGACAAGGCCTAGAAACATTTTCGAATACGATCCTTGATGACTGGCTTCCATAAGCTTATTTTCGGTCAAAAAATGCATGTTGTCAATGGCGCCCCTTTATGGAGGAAACCCCGGTGGTATGTACACATCCCACTCTATTCCTCCAATACCTAGAATGAAAAAAATATTGGATTTCTCGCTTTGACCATCGGAGGTGGAGCTTAGGCAACGAGCCAAAGGATTTCAATATTGGCATGCAACTTTGCCGTCGGGTCTGAAGAGGTTGAGCGCAAATTTGCATTTCATCATAGTCTCACTGTTGTTTCTACATGGAGTTATTCACCTCATATTGACAGAAGATAGGTTCTACGAATCGACGCAAGATGGGAACCGCCTAACCGCCGATTCAGCGATTCTTACCCTGGTGCACTGAAATAAACAGTACCCTGTATTTTCATACAATACCAGATCTTTTCCCTTGTACAACTTAAGCGAAAGTTTAAGAATTTTTAGATAGACCTGTTTAACCCTTTGAGCCACGAATTTACAATTTCTGATGTCATAATTTTTCTTTCATAGAACCTGTCAATTCCAGCAAAGTGATATCAAAGTTTCGAATTATACCCCTAGATTTGTGGTCAGCCATTACAAGTGGTTTCGCCTTGAAATCACCGTTCCTAGGGCAGGGAGATAATAGTGTAAAATAAAGTAAAGGTGGTTACACGGTGTAACCACCTCGCCTCAAAAGGTTAAGGAGGTAACCCGCGGAGATTCAAAGTTCTTCTGGCCAGTGGGTCCGAGAAGTGCTCAATTTTCTCAAATCTCCACATTTATCCAATTATGATACGAGCATGAAAACATGCCTGCGGGGTTGTCTCCTCTGCTGGACGGAAAGAGTTAAGTCACATAGGTACTCAACTCGAATTCTGATCCAGTTAAGGAAATGCGAGGTGCGATCCAAAAGTTTCCTGGAATTTATTGATAAATAATACAAAAGATAAAATTAAAAAATATTATGCATGATCTCCTTCAAAATAGTCCCCTCTGCGGTTGACACAGCGAGTCCACCGATCCTTCCATGTTTCAAAGCAGCTCTGGAACTCCAACTGAGGGATATTTCTCAGTACCGCCAGCGTTTCCTGTTGAATCTCCACTATGCTGTTAAAACGACGCCCTTTCAATTTGGCTTTCATTTTTGGAAACAAAAAAAAGTCTGAAGGTGCTAAATCGGGCGAGTAGGGAGGATGCGTGAGCGTCACCATCTGATTTTTTGCCAGAAACGTGCGCACGGACAAGGCGGTGTGAGAGGGGGCGTTGTCGTGGTGAAGGAACCATTCGCTGCTGATCCATTTCGGCGGTCTCTTTCTTCGCACGTCCTCTCGTAACCGTCTTAAAACGTCTTGATAGAACACTTGATTCACAGTTTGGCCTTGTGGCACAAATTCCTTATGGACGATCCCTTCCATATCGAAAAAAAACCATGATCATGCTCTTCACATTGGATCTCACTTGACGAGCTTTCTTCGGCCGTGGGGAACCAGGGCTCTTCCACTGTGATGATTGTTGTTTCGTCTCAGAATCGTAGCCATAAACCCAAGATTCATCGCCTGTGATGACCTTCGATAAAAAGTCCATGTCAATTTCGAATTGTCCGATCCATTCCTGGCAGGCATCGATTCGGTTCTGCCTTTGCTCTTCACTCAAAAGACGTGGGACAAACTTTGCAGAAATGCACCGCATATTCAAATATTCTGTCAGAATCCTTTGGCAGCTGCCATAGGAGAGGCTCGTAAGGCTTACAACATCAAGGATTCGCCTATCCGACCGAATGAGGTCACTGATGAGGGCAATGTGTTCACCTGTTCTTGCTGTTGAAGGACAACCCGAACGTTCTGCGTCTTCAGTGCTTTCCAACCCTAAATTCCAACCTTAAATTTCCTTAAATTGTTTATGCTGCTCGTAAACTCTTGTTTTGCTCTTTGCGTCCTCGCCATAAGCTTGCATCAGCATTTGACAAGTTTCTGACGGTTTTTTTGCCCAATTTGACGCAAAATTTCACACAAACTCTTTGCTTGAGAAGGCTCATCGCAGACGCACTTAGACATGACCTCACTTAAACTGCTCTGGGAACAAACTGAAGGGTCCTACATCGATCAAGGTTATATCATTTAAAACATAACGAACTGACCACTACCCCTACACGACGTTTTAATATTAGGTTAAACGGGTGGCGCTCTGGTGGTCAATTCCCGAAACTTTTGGATCGCACCTTGTATAACCTCTGAGGGTCATCTTCGTGGGATACTCAATAGAGTGCTGCTTGTATCATGCCACTTGGGAGTCCTACGTGGGATTGAATCTTTATTCAATCTCATCGCCTGATCGATATTAACACTCTTTCAGGCACTGAATAAGGGAGGAGGTACTCTAATGCCCAAACGTTGACAATTCAACATTGACACAACGTTACTCAGCAGCAACTTTTCAACGTTGAACTGTGTTTCATTTCATCCTTTTCTCAACATTGGGGCAACATTATTACGTTGAAAAATCAACCTTTCCTCAATGTTGACACAATGTTGTTGCGCCGAATGGGAGTGGTTCGTGCTGTTTCTACCGACTCCAAGTTATGGAGTCCTCAGATGATATCTTGACGGCTCTTTCGGTGGAATGATATCGGCGGGAGATGATGCCAATCATCACCATTGAATCTCCGTCAGCGAGAAACGAAGATATACGAAATAAATCTTCAGGAGAGGTTTCGATATAGTTTATGTTTCTTATCATTTTCCATAATTTCTATTAATGAATTTTAATTTATATTTTTTTTAAGTTGAGAAGCACCTCTTAGAGTGTAAAAGCCCTAGTCGTACCCTCCTTTAAGAAAGTACTGCATGATTTATATGTATTCAAGATATATTGTTCATCCAGGCGTTAGAGAACTTTGGACCTTTGGACACCCACAAAGGGTGGCAACTCCGGTCTCAGGGGCATGACAAATGACCGTGTAGAAGGGCTGTCATTGTCTCCTCCATGGAGTCGGGTATATCTCAAAGAGGAATGTATCAGTGCTGCCAGATTTTTTTTCCAGTGAAAGCAAAGAAAATATGACATGCATCAAATCATTTAGGGTGGATTTTTGAAAAGAGAACTATTTTTCTGAATTTTCTTGTGAATAGGGACCCGACGAGGAACCCCGCCATGAGACAGACGACGGAGCAAACAACAGCCGTGATCAAAATTTTCCCCTTTTTGTCCAAACTCCTTCCAGTTGCTGCCGTCGCACCAGCTGCGAGCAGTTCTAAAACAGAAAATAATTTTTTTTTTCACGTGCGCAATTATAAACAGAAATCAAGCGAATGTAAAATTGGCTTACTCTTATAGTAATCGGATATTAAATGAATCCGCTCACCATTTATCCGTGATGTTGCCGATCCATTTGACTCGGATTGAGAGGACAAATGGCTTCCCACTGCAAGTAACAAATAAGTACATCATCTTGATGAAGATGCCTCCATGCAGTCTTCACTCGTATGCCTTGAAATTCATGTATTTATAACTTCAAGATGAAAGCTCATGCTGTTCTCATTCGTATTGCATTGCGTCCCTTAGTAGGACTTTTGAAGCCAGAAGTTTAATCGAGTTCTGTTATAAACGTGTCAAAAAACGCCAAAAATAACCAGATTTGCCAGCAAAAGTGCTCCAAAGAGTGGGAGTGATGACAACATCATATTTGTTATAAAAAGAAAAGGTGCAGCCGAACGGGAGTAGGAAAAGAGAAACTCACCGATGGTCGCATTACGTTGGGGTTGTCTTGCCTGGGTGTCCTCTGCCGGACCAGAAATAGCCTATATGAATGCGTTCTCCAAGGTAAAAGCGTGAATCGTGGAATCCACTCACCAGAGAAGTCATTATGCATCGTTCCTTTGCTTTCGCCAGCATCCTTCGAATGCGACACTAACTGTGGGCACTGTGAGCTATTGCCAGAGCGGATATCTTGAACGTAGCGAAAGAGTTTGATTTCATTACTTCCATTGGCCACTTCAGTGCAATGACCCTTGTCCATCGTGTCCCATGCGCAGTAAGGGTCTTGAAGCTTCACACAGTCGCTGCGATGTGAACAGAGATGAAGAACCGAGAGGGTGTTTGAAACTGTGAGGATGCCGGTGGGAGCGAGAATGGGGAAAGCACGACGATGCAAGGACTCACCTGCAGGTCTTGACGAGATCGCAGCGATGAACAGGCAAGGCCTTGATCAGTTCGTCTCCGATTACAACGATCTTTGCAGGTTTCCCCTCCTCTCGATAGCGATACATATTTACCACCCTTTTTGTCATACCCAGTACTTCCGAGTCCTCTATTACGACTGCGTTCACTTTCTCTGCAACCTCATCTTCATTATAGATTATTTTCAGCACTCTTCCATCATCTGCAATCATGACAGGACTTTAACGTTCAGCACAAATGCCAAAGAGAAGGAGCGTGGAACCTGAATTCCCGTCTCGATTGGTTATTTTACCTGTTCCAGCGAAGATGACATCGTGAGTGCTCCCATTCACTCCTGTAATCCTCTCATCGACAACGATTCGGTTCAGTCGAGCACTGGAAATAGGAATGGGTTCAAGTCTCCTTGATGAAAAACCTCCTTCATGAGTTTAAGAGCACTGACAAACCCAACGCTCACTTATTTTTGTCTTGAGAAATGACGAAGATTGGCTGTTGATGGAGTGGCTGAACATGGTCGTACATGAATGGATACAGCTTGAAGAAACAGCTAGCGTATTCGGTTAACAGTGTGGTGTCATTAACCTCTTTGCTTCCAGGTCGGGGAATCGGCACCTGGTAATAAAAGGATATATCCTTTTTTTTCGTTCTGCAAACACAATGGAATCGTTACGGCTACAGGCGATTGGAAGTAGTACCCACCTCATATTCGGGAACTTTCATCCATTCTGACATTGGACTGAATTTACCCATGAAGGGTCCATCAAATACCTTCCTAATTTCGTCAAAAGAATAGGCACAAATTGCCGAAGCGGCAAAGCTGTTTCTGTTAGTGGTAAATACTGCATAGACCATGTCGCGACCATTTTGGCTCCGAATCTTCCTCGCCGTGGATTCTATCAGGGAGAGAAAATGTCGACTTGAAACGTTACACCTGACTCAGAATCATCAGGGACCTGATGTGTGGCTCTGTACTCACGTATTTCGGTGAATTGAAAGGGAGAATCCCCTGGAATTTCACAATCCAGGGTTGCTTTCGAGAATGAGGTCCATCTCCGCGAATAATACCTGGGTCCTCCCTTGTCTCTCTTCAGGACCCGACCAACTCGTGAGCGTACCACATCCTGTTTAAATAGGTTTTTAATAAATATCTTATCTTGCGTTGATTGAAGAAGTGGAAAGATTGCAGATTCAAAAGTTTCTACCTTAGCGCAGCGGGAGACTTCACAGGCTCTTTCACGGAAGAAGAAATACACGTAGTGATCATCTTCCATTGAGTTCACAAATTGTGGGTCTACAATATAAGGATCCATCTCGATGTTCAGTCACCTCACCTGTCGAACTAATGTATACTATGAAGACAAGAAATTACCGTTGAACTGCTTGAGGTCGTACTGTTCAGTTCTGAGAGGGTAATCGTTTTCGTCTCCCTCTCGAGGTTTTCGGTATATTACTGGATCGAGTCCTCCGAAATCGAGGACTGTCCCCACATAGAGCCTTTTGTCTGGAATACAGCTTCATCTTTGATTTCGACAGCACATAGGTAGGAAGTAAGAAGATTCGGGAACCAAATTTATTTACCTTGAGCGAAATATGCGGTGGTATTATGTTCTGGATGGAAAGGACATGATCCCCTTGCCTCTTCTGGCTTATTGATCCATTGCTGCGGGAACGAACGGAGGAAGTGTCGAGAGCAGAAGAGGACAAACGAATCTGAATTTTGACTTGCCTCTGATTACTCTGTTAGAATCACGTTTAATTTCAAACTTATTGATACTTGCAATTGTACGAAAATCTGGTGACTTTTTTCCGTTTGTGAAAAACTGCATCAATCATTCTCAGTTGCTTTCCTGTGACTTAAATTTTTCATTAGCTTCTTTTTCGGCGCCCCTCCCCTTATAATCTCACGATTTTCTTGTGGTCGAAACGAACTTTTGGCGGATCGCTAATTTAACCAAAGTCGTAGATCTCATGGATTTTTTCGTTGTGAACCAGGCAATTATTGTCCAGCATTAGCTTTGATAATTTAACTCGTCAACTACCTTGACGTAAGTCTTTTAAAATTACTGGTGCAATGGTTCGATTATGGATTGGTAAAAGCTTGAATGTTTTGAAAAGGAACTGCTTCATCTTAAAGCTTTATAATAAAAAAATTGGCTATGATGTTATTCCAGTGATTCTTCATGCACGAATTGAATTTTCCCGATGCAAAATTTTCATTATCGTCATTATGACTTCGAACGACTTCAATGTCTAAATGTTTTGGAAGCTCTTTTTTCCTATGTGCATCCTTCATTGAAGTGGTAGGAAATGCGATTGTCGTACTCACCCAGGGGGTCAGATGCTCGGGTCCACCCATATCTCTGCATTCCGGCTTGAACGCTTGGGTTCCGCAGACCATCAAAGTCGTGTTCGGATTTCCCTTGTCTCGGATAGCCAAAGTCCTGACGTAATTTCTGCACATGTCCTGTATTTCAAGGATCAAGTTTCAAGGTTAGTCATAGGGTGTCGGTTGCAAGACTTTCTCCCTCTGCCATCGGCGAAGATGCCTTTTCAAAGCTTTGCCAAATGTGTAAACAGCTGAATAAAGGGCAAGGTAGATCGATCTGAAATGCTCTGCCTTTGCTTACAGTTTTTCCCAATTGCTAACGTCCGTTTCTCGAAACTATACTTCGTTTTCAAAACTATTTGAACAAATCCCAAAACTCTGCAAACTTTTCACAAAACATCCGATTTCATTGCTAACGTACGAAAAGCGAAACGCGATTTTCATATCTTTTCGTACCTTTTTCGAAACCTAACATACGGAAAAGGATAGGAAGACCGATTCGACGAGTGCGGACGATGGATGCGTGGCTTCTGACGGCAATCTCTATCCTCCAAAATTCCTTCCAACCAATCACAGGTTTTCTCATCGTCCAGAGTTGTCAGAGCTGAATGCTCCTTCTCAAATGTTGAAATAGTTTCTTACGTCGATACAGCAATGTAGTTGGCAGGCAATAATGTCGATTGCTATTCAGAAAAATCCAAAATACCTGATCCTGAGTATTTACTTACTATTAATTTCTCTTACAATATAATCAGCTATATAGGGTTGTAGAGAGAAAAGAGGAGGTCATTTTATGGTCATTTTGATATTGTCATAGTGCAAGAGGATCCCGCAGAGACCTGACTTTGGACAACATTGTCATAACACTTCAAATGCTTTTGATGGGCAAACTTTGGTGTACGAGAGAGCAGCAACCGTCTTTTCCTCTCATGGGACATCCTTCATCATACCCGATCTCCGCATCACTGCTGTCATGTTCTCGACACTGCTTCCTGCTTCACTGCTGACACTGCTTATTGTTTTTTAGTGGAACTTCTTGTTTCAGCTTAGGAGGATAATACTTGGAATCAATTTAAGGAGGAAAATCTCACGATTAAAATGACACCAAAATGAAGCTTATATCTTAACTAGAGGGGAAGCTATTGCAGAAGCAGTTTCACAATTACAGTCCGTATGGGCGCTGGGAGCGAAAATTAGGTCAAATTAAAATGCATATATCTGGAGATCTGTGGGAAAGAACAAAAAATTGGTTGAAATTATATTCTTTAAATCGATTCTTCTAAGTGTATGGCGATTTTCTTAAAAGTCTGAGATGGTCGAGCTTTCTCGCTGGTCGATTTAGCGTGGAATGACCCTCTAGTTAAGTTCGTCCGGGGGTATTAAACGTCTTGAAAAATCATAGGAAAGAGAATTAAATCTTTCTTTAAAAAAGCAGTGGGTTTCCTCCTTTTCCTCCTTAAAGATTTTCCTCCTTAAATTGATGTGTGGTGGTTTTAAAGACTTGGAATGATCCTTTCGAGGACATCTGTAGTAAGACCAAAATTATTCTTTGATAAACGGTCACTTCTGATTGGTAAATCAAAGTAATCCATGAATAGATTTATTAACAGCTATTTACATTCAGAACTCATGATTAGTTTATAATCATGCAGAAAGAGGGGAAATGGGGGAAATGTGACTTACGTTTTCTGCTAGGTTCATAAGTTTCATTCACATGGCCTTTATGAATTAAGTCAATATTTGTTATGTCACCGATCTCTTATCCGAGAATATGACAAGATATTGATTTGATGTATGGTCTCGCCTCGAGAAATAAAAGATTCAAAAATCACTCACCAAGACGGAATGTAGCCTTTGGTTTGAGGTCGGGAAACCGATCTTGCCAGGCCCAGGTGACGCGGTGAGAGAGCAAGAGAACCCAGACGAGTTGCAGGACGAACATGTGCTTCATCACGCACATCATGATAACAAGTCTAAATTTTTCAAAGAAGAATCGAGAAGGTTGTGTAATTTTCTCTTTAAACCCAGGTTCACCATTAGCTCTCCTGTTTCCTTAAGAAATTCCTGAGAGGCAAGCATGAAGAGCTTCTGACTTGCGCAGATTCAACTTCAGAGCTCGAGGAAACTTTTTTGCTGGAAGTAAGAACGTTGTCCAAAATGTTGTCTGAAAACTCCTTGCTTGCAAGAATTGACGGTCTTTCCAGTCGAGTCAATGCAATATTTTTTCTTGCTGATGAGTTCAGCAGAAACTTTGTTTCCTCTGTATAACCATTTCAATCGCCAAATTCTCACTGTAAGAAATAATTGAAGGGCTGAAAGGCGAAAGTGGTCTATCTGCAAAAAAATCATTTTTCTGGATTCGGAAGGGAAAAGTGGTCTATGAGCATGGAACTCTTCTCCTCCCCACGACTACAGGGTGGCCCAAAAATACGTACGATTTTGAAAAATCAAATTTTTGGCGGACAGCTTCCCGAAGCGACTCAAGCTCTGCATCGATACCGGAAGTGGTAATTTTGAACAAAAATGGTGTTTATTTTGATGATGTGGGTTGTATAGATGTTTATTTAACCAATTGTTTATAAGAATGTTTGATATTTTGAATAAAGGATTTGATTTTTGAATCGTACGTATTTTTGGGCCACCCTGTATATGATAGCATGCTCGCAATGAAAATGGTCTGTCTGTTGTATTGCATTGAAGCATTGAGTTGGGCTTGAAGTAATGAGTTTGCCTAGATTAAACATCATAGAATAACCAATAATCTCACATGCAAACCGTACTCCTTTAGCTTAAATTTATTCTACTTCTTAAATCCAAGAGTCTAATTATTTTCCCTAGTTAAACTAGGGTTCTGAACAACGCATTTTGGCAGGGAGCCGCAAAATATTCATGATTTCCTAAACACATTTGTGGAAAATCAAGATATATGGAGTGAACAACTCAAAAAAGCACTTTCCTACATGAAACAAGTGCATAAACTACTGGCAATGCTAGACGTGGAAAGCCATTACATGGAAAGATAAAAAATAGTTTTCAAAAAAGCCGGAAAGAATCTAAAACGTGTGATTTCATTCCATGATCGCATTTCCCCTTTTCGTCAATGCACCATTGCAACCTCATTTTTCACCTTTGGACAGTGGTACTGTTTATCGGATAATATATGACAAAAAGATGAAAGATTCAAATTTCTCCTCGCAGTTTGGGAAACCTACGCCAAATTGACAAAAGCTTGCTATGTAATCCGTTTTCCTCAACGTATATCCTTCGAGTCTCATCAGGTGTTCGTAATGATTAGTCTTGCTCAGTGAATATTCAGTAGTTATATTTGTTCCGTATACTCGTACGTGCATAACTCCATAAGGTTAAAAAATTTGATGAGAAAACAAATACAGCAAATGAATTCCAAAGACATATAATGATTTCTCAGACAATTCCTTGCAGGCAAATGATCCCCTATTAATCGAAAACTAAATCAGTCCATATCCTCCTGTGGCTAGCTATGCCACCAATGAGAACATTTTTTCATCCTATGGCGCAAAAATTTTATGTTAAAGTGATAGTGTGAAATGTATTACCAAATTGCATGAGATGCTATATCGATGTGAAAATCTGTGGAAAGTAATGAAGTGAGTGCCTGAGATATGATATCAAAAGCGATGTTAGTGAAATTACGAGATATGCGATAATAAGGCTTGCGAAATATAATGACGTGAAATGTGGTTCAAGAAGTGAACCGTAGAACTTCACATTAGCAGCTTCTGCACGATCGTGAAAATTATAATTTATTTGCTAAATTAGCGAAAGTGATAATGACGACTTACAGAAATGATGGAATCGACAGGAAAGTGAGTCGAGACTTCATTTACTCTCATTATGGAATCTCTAAAATCCATCTAATATATATAGACGATCGTGACTGACTGACTGACTGACGCTAATTCTAACCATGTTCTTGAAGAATTAGAAATCTGAAACTTGGTACACATGTACCTTTTGGGATGCAGAGTTCAGAAAAAATCCGACTTCGGAGGCGCATGCCCTGGGGGTACAAGTTTTGGGGAGGAAAGTTTTTCTTAAATATATTTTGTGACAGATGAGGATTGCATTCAGAGAGACAACTGGTTGTGCTGGGTTCGGTGGTGTAGTAGTATCATCTCGGACTGACAATCAGGAGATCTGGGTTCAAGTCCCGGCCATTCTTTGGCTTTCTTTTGGCTGTTTTTGCCTTCCATGTCCCGATACTCATTACCCCTCAATAACATTATTTTTGCTTGAGTAAAACGGAGAGACATGGAAAGCTGAAACGTGGCATGGAGGTGCCTACCGAGACGATGAGTTCAGGAAATATGAAAAATTTTAGATCCATGCCCTGGTGGCATATTTTTGTGAGCCGACGTTTTCAAGTATTTCTTTTTGTCCTGGCCTATTTGAGCTAGTGTGGAAAGATGAAACTTGGTACATAACTACCTATTGGGATGCTGCAGAAAACTTCAGACTTTAGAAGTAAATACCCTGGGGGCACAAATTTCAAAGGGAGATGTTTTCAACTAATTAATTTTTTTGCATCAGTTAAACTGATGAACATGTAAAACTGAAACTTTGCATGAATGTGATTACTGAGACAAAAAGTTAAATAAAAATGTTAAGTCTCGATACATCCCCTGGGGAATTTTTTCGAGGGGCGATGTTTTGAAAAAAAAAATTGTTGTGGCGAATTGGACAGAAATGGAAAGGTGAAACTTGGCACACGTATTAGTGACATGATATTACTGAGCTGAATGATTATTCAGATTTCATGGGGCACCCCCTCCGGCATAGCTTTTGGTTGGGTCGGCTTTTCCAAGCATGTTGTTTCACCAGCGAAAAGGGCAAACGTATTATATTGAAACTTTGTGGGCATGTAGTTCACCGGGCAGACATAGAAAAGTAGCTGGCGCACGCATCACTGAAGTGATGTTGATTTAAGGAAAAAGTGAACTTTTTTTTATACGTCTCCTCAGAGCACACCTTTCGGGTGGGTCACATATGCAAATATATATCTTTTTCCGCCAGCAAAAAGGGAAACGTATAAGGCTGAAACTGGGTGGCATGGAGTTCCCTGAGTCAACATTTCAAAAGAAAAAAAAATTTCGTTAAAACCATTAGGGCACTTCTTTGTCTCATTTTCCTGATTTTTTTTTGATCCAACGAAACAAAGACAGAAAATTAAAACTTCCCTCAGAGGTACCTGTTTGATGGCTGAGTAGAGGAAAAATCCTAATTTTGAAATGTCTCCTTAGCGTAGATTATTTGAGGGAAGTATCTGATTGGAAAGAAAGTTCTCGGAATTTCATGAACAATTATTACAACTCAGTTTATTTAAAAGCAAAATCATCTCAATCATGAATGTAATCACCATTGGCCTCTATCACTTCACGCCAACGTTTATGCAAACTATTGATGCCATTCCAATAGAACTCTGGCGGCTGCGCTACGAAAAAGTTGGCCAAATCGGTTTTCAGGTCGTCT